GTAACAACCGCGCCGTCAAGCGCACATAGAGATGCGCCCACTGCGTACTATTGGACTGCACTTGAAGGCCTTGGCTTTTGCAAGAATGAAGTGTGACCATTGGCTGGGGCTTGCTGAAGGCAGTGTTTTATGCACTGCATCTTTCTAAAAATGATGATTGTATCAGGATTATGTATATAATACTCTTCTGGAGTGGAAAATGCAGCTTTTGCAATAGGCTGCATTTGGGATTTGACTGGGATGGGGGATGGAAATAGGATGGTCATTAGATATTTATGATCTGCAGGCATAAAATGCAGGTTATCTGGCACTGGGCAAAAAAGTCAGCTGGTCTTGGGCTTTCCCGCCAGCCACAAAGCAACTCCAGCAACAAACGCAGCTCTAAAGAGGGTTGAGTAAAGAAGAAAGCTGAGATGTCCCCTCTGCACCCCTTAAAAAAAATAAAAAATAGGAAGGTAGGTTTGCTTGAATATGCAATATCCCATATACCGTCTTGCTTTAAAGCACCCGAGGACCAGGTCCTTGAAGTCGGTGGATATTTTAATCTAGTACCAACCCTTTCTCTCCCTCCATCCATTAGCACCACTGGAGCAGCCATCTCCTTTTCTGTCTCTCCATCTCTCTCTCTCTTTGGTCTTGTATGAGAAATGTGTTCATTTGTTTGTATGGAGACACTGCTCCTCAAAACTAAAGCTGTGACAGGAAGATCTCCCTATGCAGGAGCAGGTTGGCCTATACCTTGGTAAAGGAGGCTCTCTTCTTCCTTGCTCTCCACAATCCTATTTTTGATTTCTTCCCTACACCTCTGTCCTCTGGGATCTCATTATCACACCTCTGGAATATGGTGTCAGGAAAATTAGGACTTGAGTTAAATGGAAGCACGTGGACCCTAGCCGGGCTCTCCCCATGTCACCCCGTGGAAGTCAATGAGCGTTAGAGGAGGATTGAATTCGACACTTGCACAATCCCTCTTCTCAAAGGCTCTCAACAGGTTGCAGTTCATAGGCATTTCAAACCCCCTTCCACCTCAAATTTGATGAACTTTGAGGCTGTCTCTTGCCACTTTTTTTTTTTTTTTTTTTTTTTTTTTTAATTTGGGTTACAAATGTACAATTGGAGGCCTTAGGCAAGGCCACGTAATGAATGTCAGTGTGGCACAGTAAGTAACCTGGACCGGGGATTGAGACGTGGGATCTATTCCTGATTCTATCGGTGGCTTCATTGTGTGACCATTAGCAAATTGCTTCTATTCCCCATTCCTCGGTTTCCCCATCTGTACAGCGGGGGCATGATACTGGACCTCCCTTGCAGAGTGTTTCTGAGAGTTGACTGACAAATTGCAATCCATAAAGGCTGGTGTTTTTAGCTGTACTGTCAACTGTTGTTGAGACCCACGCTGGAGGGTGATCTGAGACTTGGCCAACCAGCATACCTCGGAGGGATGTGGGGACTCTAAGATGGGGAAAATAATCATTCTAGCAAATGTTGAAGTCTTGCATAACCCCCCTCGTGCACACTCATCTTTCATAGCTAGTAAGTCTGCCACTCATGAGTCATTGGCTTTGTCAGGGGTCCTAATGGGAAGTCCAGGGAAGACTAATTGCCGAGGTGGCCAGACTTTGCTGATGTACCAACTGGCCACAGTTAAGGTCTCCTGATTTTGGCTTTTGGGGGGAGAGCAGCCTTCTCACTTAAATCCACCTGTGGCAGCAGGGTACAGGCCAGCCGGCAAGTCTGCCCTGGTGAGCCTTGTTGCGTCTGCCTCTGGACTCCAGCTTTTGGGATCTCTGCTCGGCTTTGGTACCTTGGACCCCGACTGCAGCCTGTGATTTGGACTCTGCCTCTGCGTTTCCCTCTTGGATCTGGCAACTCAGTTTCTGGTTCTGGACCCCTGATTTGGCATGTGATTTGGACCCTGTTCCTAACTCTTAGTGGGCCCTACCCACTAGGCCAGACTGCATAAGACCTAGTCTTACACTTTGCAAACTCCATGGCATGTGATTTCTTGCTTCTTTCCATCAGGCTGTGGGGCAAGCCCTGGCTCTAGAAATGTAATAAAAAAACTAAAAACAAACCCCCAAACCCTGCAAAAAAAAATAATCAAAAGCACCCCCCTAAACCCCCCATAACCCATAGCTCTAGGAATCTTGTACTGTCTCAAGAATGAGTGGTCCCCCTCTGCTCATGGTGGGGTGAGACTTGCAATGTTCTGCATGATGGGTCTTTCCAAAGGGCTACAGACCTTTATAGAGAAAGAGCTGATGGCTTCAAGTCAATCTACCACTTAAAACTATCCACAGTTGGAGACAGCTCAGCTCCGTGGATGCCACAGATGCTGCCTCTGAGTTGAGAGTGGGAAAACCATTGCTGTGACCAACTGGTATGTCCCAGTGGCAAAACTGACTCCTTAAGATCAGTTATGGGATGCAAATTGGGCCCTTATGTCTCAAAATTCCCTTGCTTTGACACAAACTCAGACTTCATCGAATCATAGAAAATTCAGGTGGGAAGGGACCTCAGGAGGTCACATCTAGTCCAACCCCCTGCTCCGGGTAAGACCAGCCCTAACTACATCATCCCAGGCATGGACATTTCAAGCAACTCTACTGAAGTTTGTGGAGATAACGTGCTATATAATGGGGCCAGATCCTTGTCCCAAACTAGTGTTGTGTGCAAAACCAATTTTGGCATTTGCGTGGCTTTAAGACTCAGTGTGTCACCTGTAGCATTGGCTACTGGAGTTGCTGCACCCTTTCTACTGATGCAGCAAGATCGCTGTCATAAATTGCCACTAGGGAGAGAAAGTCTAGCTGTTGCCCTCCACATTTCTAATAGCTATACCTGCCTCCTTGTTATTAGTGTGTCTCTTCCTGTGTTTAGACTGGAAAGTGTTCAGTGGTTAGCTAGTTTTAAATGCAGTGGAGATGGGGAAATCCAGCCCAGCACGACCAGCCAGCATCTGTAAACTGATGATCCACAGAACGGAGCCGTAGCTGGACTAAAGGAGTTGGCCCACCAGGGAACTTCTGCTGGCACTTGAATTGGGCAGGTGGCTATCAGAGGTGTAAATCCAAGACCTTTTAGGAAGGATTGCATTTTACCTGCTGTAACAGTATTAAACGGCCTTTTGTTTTGCAATGAGTGGAATTTTCTTTGGAAGAATAGAGATGCATGATAGCAGGGGTAAGCAAGGTGAATAGCCATTCATACTCTTTTTTTTTTTTTTTTTTTAATCTGTGAATGCAGAATAATTCTGTTGTAAATAAATAGACATAATTTATCACGGCTTTACTATCACCCATGGAAATAATTACCAATCCACTACAGGCTAGTACCTCAGGATTCATAGAAAAGTAGGGCTGGAAGGGGCCTCGGGGGGGGTCGTGTAGTCCAACTGCTGCTCAAGGCAAGATCCTCCTAGATGAGGATGTAACCTTTCCCAGATGCAGAATACAGTGTGTGTGCAGAGCAGGATGCAGCACACCCAAATACATGCTGTGGCCACATCCTTGGGGTTCAAGAAGAGCACGGTGGTGGCAATTGCAGATGTCTGGTTCCAGTGCCACCACTGCTTTTTCCTGGCCCACACCTTTGGGGAATCCCTGTCCTAACTGAAACCTCCTGTGTTACAATTAAAGCCTGTGACAGAGCAATGGATCACCAGCCTAGACATATAGGGATCTACTCCAATCAAGGAGGCAGCTAGTGAGGGGTCCGGGTGGCAGCGCTCTTGGGCTCCCCTTCATGCCAGCGGCCCCCATTTCCTCCATCCCCCAGTGGGCTGTGCAGCCAGGCCGCAGCAGCCATGAGGACTGCTGGCCCCCTCTGGGGAGCTGGCATTTTTTTTTTTTTCATTCAATAAGTTGGTTTTTTTTTTTTTGGTTTGGTCACAAATTTTGCAGGCATTGCCCTGCTTCATGGGCAACGCCAGATTTCACAGTTTCCAGGAGATTGTGATTTGAGTAGGTCCATATTCACGTGCAGGGCATAAGACAGCCCTGTTGATGTAGTCGAGTGATTCTCAACCCTGTTAGGCTTGATACCAGCTCTTAGCTTGCCCTTCTGGGTTTTTTTGGTTTTGTTGGAGGTTTGGGGTGGGGGGGGGGTTGATTACAACCCCCCCCTCCAAAAACAGATCAATTCTTCTGTTACAAATTGCTTATAAAGACTTCAGCAAGTCGGAATGTGTTTGACACTACGGATCCCTATATGAAATCTCTGGCCACGTCTAGATGAGTGCGACTGTGGCACCCATCTGTGGTGCCACACATTGCACATTTGGGCGTTTCCCGTGCTGCTACCTTGGGGCATGGGGGTGATTTTGACCCGTGGAAAGGAGGGGTGGCGCACACACAGGCCACACCTGCAGCCCAAAACCAGAGCCTGGCTGATTGGAGCCATGCCCCGGCTGCTGGCTGGGCTCCGAGGTGCAGGAGCGATGCAACTGCAGCTTTCCCGGCCCCCAGATGAGCCCCAGCCTCCCCTACCCCACCCGGGGTAACCTGCTGTGCGCCAGGGGGCATGTGGCATGCATGTTCCCCGGAGACGAGTAGCAGTGGCACTAGTCCCCAGGGAACCAAATGTTCACGCTCATCTGCACGTGGCCTCTGAATCTGTCCTGTGAATCACTTGTGGGTATTTGCACACCTAACAATGCTAATATTTCACAACACTCCCTGATGCCTTTAAAAGCATCTCGGGACTCCTCAGGGTGCATTGGAGATGAAAATAACTGGCCTAATACCTATTGAGGAGGTGTGCAGTGGTTTCTTTCCTCCCCCCTAACAATCGGCTTTGGATCCTCAGGTGCTCTTTTTTTCAGCACTGCAGCCTAACGGGTCTTTCCCCACGTTGCATTTATTCATGTGATTTATCTCAATGTACTGCATAAAGGAAGGAACAACATTTCGTGGAATAGCCTATAGTGTCTGTATTGGCTCTTTAGTGAGATTCCTTCTCTCACTGCTGACTTTCTTCTTGGTTGTATCCTTTATCGCCAGGTCATCAAAGCTGGGGTGGAGACTACCTGCAAGTGCCACGGAGTATCTGGATCCTGTACTGTCCGAACGTGTTGGCGACAGCTCTCTCCGTTCCACGAGATTGGCAAGCAGCTGAAGCAGAAATACGAGACGTCGCTCAAAGTCGGCAGCACCACCAACGAGGCCACCGGGGAAGGGGACATCTCGCCACCCAAGAAGTCCATCCCTGGTCACAGTGACCAAATCCCAAGGACTACGGATCTTGTCTATATTGACGATTCCCCCAGCTTCTGTCTGATGAGCAGGTATTCACCTGGGACTTCAGGAAGGAAATGTTACAAAGACAAAAACTGCGACAGCATCTGCTGTGGCCGAGGTCACAACACGCAGAGCAGGGTGGTCACCCGGCCGTGCCAGTGTCAGGTCCGCTGGTGTTGCTACGTGGAGTGCAAGCAGTGCACTCAGAGAGAAGAGGTTTATACCTGCAAGGACTAACACCTGCTCTTCTTACCGGATGCCCTCAGCGATGGGAGATCAGGATCTATGAGAATTATATATGGAGACAAACAGGGTGTGATTGACCGTCTTGGGATCTGAAAGCTATGTTGAGACCTAAGCACTTTGTAGGGTACAGGTGACCCAGTTGTGTGTTTTGCTTGTTTTTTCTATAGACTGAATTTTTAATCATGAGGTCCAACCACGTGGAAACAAGTGCCTGTCATGCCCGGGTTAGGTGTCAGCTGACCCTTTGCCAAAGCCATCCATAAATCCACTCAGCTTGACAGATCATTCATTTATCTTGAAAGTCCTTGATTGCTTCCTCAGTCCTCCATAAGCTCCCTGGCAAAATTATTCTCCCTGGAATAAACACCTGTGTGCCCTACTCTACTTTTTATTCCTGAAACTTGCCTGACTGAATGGAGAGCCAAGCAGATGAATGAGAGAAACTTGATTTAAAGTATTTCTGCCTTTAAAATGTAATAGTGGCGATGTCTCTCTAAAGAAAGAGGGGAAAATGGGTGTGGGCAAGCTTCAGAAAATGAGTTGCTCTTCTAAGGGAGTTTCTGCAGATCGAGCGTCCAAGGCTGTAATGAAGAGACCCATATAGAAAGCTGGCCGCTTAACAGCGATTTTATATATCGGTGTAACTCCAAAAATGTTGGGTCCACCATGTTACGGGCAAATCCATCCGACAAAGAGCTTGAGGAGACAGTCCAATGATGCACATGTCCCACTCCCTGCAGTCCAGTCAAACACGCATCTCTACATGTTCTCCAGATGCAGTTTCTTTAGCACTGTCATGGTCTTAAATTGTTTTTAAAGAAAAACCACTAGATCTTTGCTTCACTTTGGTAAAGGAGTAATCCCTCTTGCCTCTCGTTGATCGACGTTGACCCTGTGGAGGCTGCTGTAGAAATCCAGACTGGAACTTGTTAGTCTTATGGCGACAAAATTTGGATACTTGTCTTTCTGATAGCTGGCTTTTGACCACATGAATTCCATTGCATCTCGATGCTGGCTTGACACTTGCATTTTATAGGAGCTGTTCTGGACTGGATTGGACCTTTTGGAGGAGAAGATGTTATTTTATTAGGTCATCATTCCATTTACTCTAAACCATGGCAGTTGTACATGGCACAAACTAGAGGTAGACCCTACAACCGTAAGCTTTTCATTTTATTTTTTTAACCACTAGATCGAGTATTTCTACATACAGCTACTTACCAGTAACCAACCCTTGGAGATTGCAAACCTCTAGTCAAACATGACACGAGCTGGGCAAGGAAGCCAACCATCAAATGCAGCGGTAGCTAGCTCCAGCGCTGTGAACTAAACGACAACCTCCATTTATTTCTTAAAAAGGATATTTTACAATATAGGAATTGATATGGCAGTTTGTCTTCAGTCCTATAACACCGCTGCTGGGATCAGAAACAGCTGGTAAATGCCTCAACAAAGCTTCCTAAGGAAATGTTGGAGAGTGGAAGGCATCTTTTTTTTGTTCTTGAAGTCCTTGATTTTTTTTTTTTTCCATTAGTAGCAATTTCACTAGTTCATAACCCATGGATCTGTGTTTTTGAGAGAGGAAAGTTGGCTGGGATCTTTCTCCTTCCAGGAAAAGTAAATGCCTATTGCAACACAGGAGAGCGTTGTCTTCCAAGAAGGACTGTTGTGCTCGGAGAGCCTCTTCAATTAGCAGCCACTAATATTCAAGCTGTTCGTGTGCATCAACTGGGAAGGGAAAGGTTATATGTAGTGTAGGGGATTCTCTTTTTAATTTTTTTAAATGTTTTTCTTTAAGGACAAATTGCAGTTCAGCCTGACTTTTAGTGTACTCCTTGGAGCTGGGAAGACTGGAGGAAATGGGGGACGGGGAAATAAAGGGTTGCCTTTCAATGCTCTGCAGCCCTGCAACACAACACGCCTGGCTCTTTGTCTGATTCTGGACACGGGGTGGAGTTGGGCCCGTCGTTTCTGCCGCGGCAGATGCACAGCAACACGTTGGACGCGGTGAGCGAAGGAGGAATCTGCGACTTCCACAAGAGGCATTGGTTTGGAAGTAGTGCACGAGCAGTTTACCTGGGTGTTTGTGGGGGGGGTTTTGGGTTTTTTTTTTTATCTTTTGATTTTTTTTTTTTTAAGAGACTGAACAGAAGTCTATTCGGTGTGGAGATGGATATAGATATATCTATCTATCTCTCGCACGCAAGCATACATAAAATATATAGATATATATATATAAAAAAATATTGAATGAACATTTATTTATTATAAAGCCTTTCTGAAGGACCTTCTTATGGTTTCAATGTGGTATTATGTGTGTCTCTCTCTCATGCACAAACTCACTGTAAGGTTTTTGCCATCCCTTTCCTCCCCACCTTCTCCTAAACACAACTTAAACTGAGATCCAAAACCGCCACCAAAACCTTGAGGAATTGGCCCATCCGGACCCATCTCTACTTAATCTTTTTTTACTTTTTTTTTTTTAAAGTGCTTTTTATGTACTTAAACATATATAAAAAAATATATATGGGCGTGACTTCTTTCTTTTTGCTGGTGTCTCCATCCTCCATTGATTTGCTGGGGTATTTCCACACTTGCGCTGATGCGAGGGAAGAAGGAGGCATCCTCGCTGCATAGAGGGAGAGGTTGGTGGCACAGAGGTTACATTTGAGTTTGTGCATTGTACAAAGAGGATACGTGAGCTTGCACACTATGTACTTTTTTGTTTTTTCCCAAGCAGTGTGTCTGGTGATGGGGGCGGGGGGGAGAGAGGTGGGGGAAATGAGGCAAACTGTTAAAATATTGCATAGAGGTAAGGGGCAAAGAGTGAATGAACTACTGAGTGAAAGAGCTCTTCTGTGTATTAGGACTCACGCACTGAAGCCTGGATGCTTTCTGTAAGTATTTAAAAACAAATTGTATTTATGTTAATGTGGATATATTACTTTCCTGTTTATATATTGTAAATAGCAAGGTTTATTCTCCTGTGGTTAAAGAAAAAAAAGGTATAAATAACTAAATAGTAGCGAGGCACATGCATTAAATGTATAGGCAGTGTATAACATATATACTAACACTCTGAAATCAGGAGAACTTATCTCTGTCTCTCTGGCCTTTTTGACGAAGGTGGTATAGCATATGGGTTACCTTCTTATTGTTGGGGGTGGGGGGGTTAATGCCGAGGTTTTCCAGTGTTTGCCTTATCTTTGGAAAAGAAACGAGTAGGGCAGAAAATGTCTCCTTTTAGAAAAGTCTTGAGCACTTGTTTAGGGTGGAACAAATGCGTGGTTTTAAAAGCTGTCTTGCAACCCAGTGCACAAACGTGGCAGAGTCCAATCCCTCTCTGTAGCTTTTGTGAAGCCTCTTCTGGAAGTTAGCTGGGAACTAGCTGTTTCACCGGGAAATTGAAAAAAGCAATACGAGACCTGTCTCTTAAGGACTTGCTAAGGTTTGGAGCAACTTCCAGAGAGCCCTCTGGGGTTCATCCCTATGAAGCTCTGCTTTTCCATGGGCGCTGGTCCTGCTATCACTCCCACCATGGAAACTCCATTGCAATCCCTTGTTAATGGCATCAAAAAACTGAGATGAAAGCAGAGTTGAGTCCCAGATTTTTCACAGTGCCATTTTTTTTTTGCAAAGAAAGCAAAGCTTTACTTACTTTCCTAAGACGGACTCTCTTGCAGCAAATATAACTGGGGAGGGATGGAAGTTGAGTGGGGAAGCACTCTGCTTTTTCATTCCCCCTCCTTGTTCTCGTTTCCACTCCCCCAGGTGTGTTTCAAAAGTCTGGTTTTTCCTTAGTGGGTCCAGCAAGACTTGCAAGGTATTGCCAGTATGTGTGCGTGGGGGCGGGGAGGGGTGCAACCATTATTTATATAACTTTTTTTTTTTCAAAATTAAAAAAAAAAATTAGCGGATGGAAGAATATTTTTATTGAATAGTGCATTTAGTTATGTCAGAAATATAAAATATAATATTTTTGTAAACAAGGCAAACTGAAAATGTTTGCTGTTTTATATTAGAATTTTCTATTATAAAATAATTAAAAAAAAACAACCCACGCAAATAATTGTTGCACCCGCCATTGGTTATTTAACAAGCTTCTGTTCTGTGTGACTGACTGTTCTGTGTGCTGGTGCAGAGAAGTGCAAAACAAGTCCTAAACGTTACGTTCATCCGGTCTTTCAACTTCAGAAGACTTTTAAATGGGCAAAGCAAGCAGTGTTGAGTCTAGTTAGGTGAACGGACACGGTTGTTTAAATACTACTTTTGTCATTTGTACCAAAACTAGGATTTGATTTGGAGAAAGATGCAAAAATTCACAATAAAGATGCCCCCGTGCTTATTATTTTTTTAATTGACCTACATTCTGGGATAGTGTTGGGTGTAATAAAGCAAAGACGCACGGCACCCTCTGACTTCAGTAGCAGTCACTTTAAAAATAAAAAAAAAAATTTAAAAAAGGTTGAAATTTGGTCCGTGCCAGTCGCGCAACTTCTGGCAACCTCGTTAGGAGGCAGAGGCTAATGTTGAGGACTTTTTGTCACCTGTTAGCAAAGTTTTGTAACTTTTAACTGCTCTGAAAAGGATATTGTGAGAAGGGAGAATTTTTCAACTGCTTGTATTATCTTGAATTCTGGGGTAAGACTGAGGTTGCCCTTTTCTTTTCAAAAAGATGTAGGAAAATGGCAACATCAAAGGATAAAATCTGACGAGGGAAGAGACATTTTGTGATGGAGCATTTACAAAGCAGCTCAGTTGCAAAACTCTTTGGGGTAGCTTTATATTGTAATGGGTTTTAATGGCTGAGAAATAGTCCTGGTTTGATGTTTCAAAAGCGCCACGTGCTTCCTGTGGTCTACACCAAAGTCGGCAGTAAGGGCAGCGCCAGGCTAAGCATCACTTTGCTTGCCTTATTCAGCTTTATTTGGCTGCTAAGGTGAGGAAGGTCTAATTTTCCTCAGTTCAGGTATACTTAACATAAGAATGCCCTTAATGGCCGATGACACTTATCAGTTGGAGGATGTTGCCCATAGATGTGTCCTAGAGTGAATGGTCACGTGTGTATCCATGGGGGTGACCATTCTCCCACCACAACCAGATGGTCATCAGATGAGTTTTTTTAAGCCTAGTGACTTTTTTGGAGGGGGTGGGGGGTGGATGTACATCAGCCATTCAGAGGAAAAATCTCCATACTACAGAATCACTCAAATTCCCAGTTGCTTCACTCGAACCCTGTACAGGTGGAAAGGGGGAACATCTTTTATGTATTTTTTTTTTTTTTCTGAAATGAAGGTTAAATATCTTGATAGGAGTACGATTGAAATGTTTGCCGAATTGGCAGCACGGTGCCATTTTCTGCTAGCTCTAGCAAAGAGGGTCACGTTCTGCTTTGGGGCAAGAGGAATGTAGAGGAAAACCATAAATGTAATGCTGCATGTGGACATCCAGTTGGGTTCAAATGGAAGGGGACACTTCTGACCTTTGCTTCCTTTCTGCTAGAAGCAGCACCGCGTTTTCCAGGGATGAATGACTCTCCCTCCCCTCTTTTTTTTTCGGGGTCCGTTTGGAAGGGGCTACCCAAGTTGTGAAAGCAGAGCTCACTTCCTCACTCCCGTTGTGCATGCTGGAATCTCGTTGGGGTGCCCACGTACTCCGGGCACGGCTCTTTGTGTAACAAGAGCACTGAAGCCCTTGGTCTCCAAGGCGCTGGGGAAATATTTAATGTGGCATTTGCCAAGAGGTAGGAGCAGCAAGTTAGGTTACTTTGGCCTGCTAACAGCCTCACCAGCTCCTTCTGGATGAAACCTATCCAAAGTCGTCTTCTCAGTGCTGGCACGTGACCCTTCATCTCCCCCATTTCCCATTTGCTCCAGTTCCCCTGAGGTCTGAATGTAAAGTCTAGGATTTGTTTTGTGCACTTGGAAAAATGGCATTTCCTTTTTGAAAGGGAGGTGGGGACTGAATACTAACATATGAAGGATTAGTATTTTCTTTGTGGTTTGTTCGGTATTTTTTGGTTTTGTTTTTTTTGTTTTTTTTTTTTCAATGTCTTATGGGAGCCTAAGTTATTTTTTTCTCTACCTCATATGTACAGCTTGTAGGTATAAATCTGATTCTGAGTGACTGTTGAGAATGTATTTAAGTTATTTAACATCTTTGTATAACAAAAGCCAGAACAAATGAAACAATAAATGTATTTTAAATTATACCTGAAATCTGCTCCCCTTTCTTTACCTGTCCTGTGTCGGGTCCGGGACCAACCTGGTAACTTGTGGCTCCTTGCAGCGGTGCGAGGAAAGAGCCCAAATGCACTTTGGGAAAAGGGTAGCTTGTGGTAATGAATTATCGGGGCAGATGTTTTGTCCTGTTCATGCTTGCTGTACGTCCCGTGCTCTCATATAGCAGGTCGGGGGCATCCAGAATGGACGGCAGCTACTCGTGCTCCTGGCTCCCCGCTGTGTTGCTGTTGAAGTGAGATTACTACCCCCTGCCTCTCTTCCCTGCACGGCTGGGACTTATTCAGACATTTGGGTGGGGATAAGAGATGCACTCCTTAGCATTGCATTGAGGAAGGGCACAGCGCCATCAAGCATTGCATTGAGGAAGGGCACGGCGCCATCAGGGTCTTTCCCAAAGACTGGTGGATACTTGTCGCTTGCCAATTCTGATCTGATCACTGCTTTTCTTGGCCCTTAATTGCTGTAGTACCAAAGGCATTGGAAAATAGAGCTGGAAGGGAGCCCTAATAGTCACCTAATCCAATCCCATGCTCGAGGTGGGATTGTGCCTGTCTAAACAAGTGTCCATCTAACCCATCTTTCAACTTCCAGTGGCCAGAAGAGATTTGGCAACTGGTGTGGGTAATCTGGCCCAGCGCTTAGCCACCCTTGCAGCTCTTTCTCATTTCCAGCCTAAATCTCCTATATGTGTTAAGCCTGTCCCTCATGGACACAAGGGACAGTTGATAGCCACCCTCTTACAACAACCCTTTTGTGTTTGAGGGCTCATCAAAAACCACTGCCTCTCCACTTATCCTTGTAATATGCCTGTGAGGTAAGGAAGTTATCCCCATTTTACAGATGAGAATATATGACTTGCTCTAGGGTCACAAAGAAGTCTGTGACCAAGCAGAGGTTTTGACCTTAGGTCTTCAGCCTAGCGTCCAAAGGACTGGCCAGTCCTTTGACCCAGTATAGCAAAGCAATTCCCAGTATAAGTTTCAAAGCCATTGAAAAGCACGGCTGGTCTCGCATGGTTGCCGCTGCAGGGTTGAAACAATAGGAGCCTAAACCTCGGAAGGCAGGTGGACATGCACACGGTCTTTTTATGGAAACGCATTAGTCCTCGTCTACAAGCGAAGAAGCTGTGACACCTTGGCATGGCATGTCAGTGGCGTGATGCGATGGTAAAGTTACTCAGATACAGTATCTGGCGGCAGCTCGAAATACAGGCAGGCCAAATTTAGATTGGGCGCGTGGCAGTCATCTTAAAAATTGTCATTCTCTGGACTTGTATGTTGTCCTGCCTACTCGAGTGTCTTTCTCACAAAGGTCTTCTCCTGTTCAGTTCATTTCAGATGAGCTTTAAATAGTAAAAATCTGTCATTCAGCTGGCAAGAAACAAAGGCCTGAAACACAGGTGACTTGATATTCGAAGAGCTGGGGTGGGGGGGAGTTTCAACACCATTCCACCTGTGTGTGGCGTGTCTTCTAACTTTTTTTTCCAAAAGTTTTCTTCCAACCCTGGTTTGTGTTAGATTTCTGGTGTGCAAATATGCCCCACTTTCATGAGTGGCATTTTCTCTCTCCTTTTTTAGCATGTATGCATTTGAGTTTAGCAATTCTCCTACCCTCCGGTTCTTCCAGGATCATGCTTTGCTTTTCATGGAGGCCCTCTTTAGGGAAATGCAATAGGGAGGAGCTGATGTGGGTTGACTTGTACCTCCTAGGAGCTCCTGGGTGCATTTTTATAATACTAGCAATGGGTATTGCTAGTGGCAGATAGTTAGCATTGAACTGGCAGCCTAGTTCAGCCCAAAAGTGTGGTGCCAAGCTCTAGGATTGCAAACAAGACCAAAAGGACTGACTCCCCAGAAGTGTGCTGCTTGTGTAATTGTGAAAGACAAGCAACTCTTCCTTTCTCCCCCCTGCCAACCCACTACCATTGATGCACTGCAGCTAACTATTGCTCCCTTGCTAAATGGGTTTCCCCACTACCTCCAATGCTGGACTTGAATGGGTTTTTTTTGTTTGTTTGTTTTTTGAAAATGGGTTGCCTCACTATCACCAGTGCTCGACTTTAATAGGGGTTTTTTTGAGTATGGAGAAATAATACAGCAAATTTTCTGTTGCAGAGATCTCAAAAAGCCCACGATGGGTCAATATTTTAATGCTGCAAGTTCTTATTTGAAATTGTTGGGCTCATCTTGTGAACCATGCCGGTACACCCAGCAGCACTAGCGTTGCATGGCATTATGGCACCCCTGGAAGGGTCTCGCGGCACCCCAGGTTGCTACAGGTCCCTGGTTGAGAAGCACGGCTCTAAGGTTTTCCTAGGGCACCCATTGCAGAGTTTCGAAGGAGGTGGCATTCGAATACTTTGAATCCTCCTGTGGGCCGAAGAGCTCTCCTACTTGGTTAGGCTCTCCTAAATAAGGGCTAGATCTGCTAAAGGTAGGCGTTGAATTTTGATCGCTGCTCCTGATTGGCTAAGAATAACGTGCGTCCTATTTTTGTTACTGCATCTCTCGCACCTCAGCCTCTCTGCTCCACCTGTTATGCTTTGTCTATTCCCTTGTAAACTCTTTGAGAACGGGGTCTATCATTTTACTTTGTACAGCACTCGGCGCGGAGGGGCCTCAATCAGCTTGGTGAGTGGTCAGCGAGGGTAACGAATGGAACAACCCTTCCAGCAGTTCCCGCTGTGATGCAAAGGTCCTCGGGTTTCAAGATAGAGCTACGTGTAGCCTCAGGGTCTGACTTTACCTAGGTTGTACCTGATGGCTCTGGGAGATTCACATGCAAAGGTGAGAGGCTGATCATCATGGCCTATTCAGGAAGATGCAAGACCAGCGGAGAAGAAGCATGGCTAGTATGCAAGCCCCTTGCTGTGAGCACAGTTTTAGAGCTCCCACTCTCTCAGGGACTCGCTTGGATGCAAAGGCAGGGCCCAGCAGACAGCAGGTGATTTTTAGGAGGGGGGAAGATCTTTGGCATGTCAGACTTGGTGATTAGAGGGTCAGGAAAGGAAAGGGCAGAGTCTAGCTAAATCCTGCAACTTTATCACACTTTCCTTGATGCCAGGAAAGACTGAAGGAGGTAAGCAAGGGTTTTGACTATGGGTCTGCTATTGTCCTCCTGTGGAGAGGACAACTGCTAGAGAACACAAGTACAAGGGTCCGCTCAAATGAACCAAGAGATGAGATGCTCTCTGCAGGTGCGGGATCCTATATCACAATGAAATACTAAAGCTAAAGCTTTATGTAAATATTGCAATACTGATTCATATAGCATAACAACAAATACAGTGGAAAGGGACCTCAAGAGGTCATCTGAACTAACCCCCTACTCAAGGCAGGATCTTCCCTCTCTGTACCCGATCAGCCAAGTGTTAATGCAGTCTACCCACATCAACTTCCAAGGAGGGAACAACCTCCCTAGCTGTTTTGAATCTCTCTTATAGTGAGAAACTTCTTCCTAATGTCCAAGCTAAATTGCTTGTGTTATAATTTCAGGCTATTGTTTCTTGTCCTCTCTCCCCTTTGCCCATAGAAAATAGTCGCTCAGCACCTGTTGGGGATTGGAAGACTGTTATCAAATTGCCCCCTCAAGCTTCTTGTCTGTATGTTGTATATTTTTTTTTTTTTATTCTTTATATTTATTTATTCTTTAAATTTATATTTCCTCCACCTAGTGAAACACTATTTCCTCCTCCTACACCCAGGTCTTGTTGCAATCTTGGTTTGCTTCCTCAAAAGTGCTGTACAGTAATAAGCGTGCAACTGGGTCTTGGGGTTTTGCCTCTGTACCCTCAACTCGCAAGTAGGACTTTGTTTCCCTCTGGCCGGCCCACATAGACATTTTTATTTCATTTATTGGTGTTTTTCTTGCAGTTGTGCATTTAGCTTCAATAGTAAAAGCTCATCCTTTTAGACTCAGAGGTCTGGGGTTCAATCCCCACTACCAACACTGCCATGCTACCGGTGTTGGATAATACAGGTATTGAAGCCATGACTTTGCTACATCCCCATTAGAGTTTTGCATGCATGTGCGAGCTCCCCGTTTGAAGCACACCAGTACAAAATAGATGGGGACATTCCTGTGTACATACAGAAAGCAGCTTGCCTAGAGTTTAGTGCACCTGCCTGGGAAATAGGCCTGTGTGTTTGCATTCTCATAGGCAGAGGAGACCTGAAAAGCTTGGGTATCCTATTTCATAGTGAGGGCTCCAGCTGTTAGGCTAAGGTGCAATACGCCGGCCAACACAGCCCCCCATGTTTCAGAGGAGAAGTCATATTTGTGGCAAGAAATCTAGGTGGAAGGGTCTCTTCAAGGCCAGCATCTGTTGAGTCAAAGTGCTCAATGGGTTTGACTGCTGGAGTGGGATTGATATGGCTCATCTTTTATGACTTAATCACCTCAGTTCTTCCTAAATCCCTTGCAGGAACCGAGGTGATAATTTGGGTATGGTAGACCCACAAACCCTTCTCCCACAGATGCTACAGCATCTGAATCTCCACCAGTGAAATCCCCACCTCGTTTTCTGCCCTCCAGGGCCATGCCACCGCTGAGCAGCTCAGGTCTGAGGCCACAGCAGGGTGTTCAGATTAGACGGCCCATAGCCTATCTTGCATGTGGGGCCTTCTCTGGTAGATATCCTCAAACAAGACATGGCATGCTAGTGAAGCCCACTTATACCCCATCATAAGCTAAGAGAGAAAGTTTTGGCCTGTGAGGTGGGACGTTGAGGTTCAAAACCCTCCTCGGTCTGTTTTCGGAGCACCGAATCTCCCACGTTTTAGGTGAGCCTTCATAAAGCAGTCATGGCTATCTTCAAAACCTACACCCCTTCATCACATCAGGGTTTTCTTTTATTTTTGGAAAAAAGGGCTGAAGCACAAGGCTCCAAGGGAAGGCTCCTGGCTGTTAATAACAGCGGGCAAGGACACCTCACTGCAGCCC